AAATACATAAGATACAATAAAAAATACAAAAATACAACAATGCAAAACCTATACGCCCATGACATAAAACAATTCATGTGGATCCTGCCTGCTGAAAAAAACACATACAACACAACAACAACATCAACAACAACAACATCAACAACAACGTCATCATCAACCACAACAGCAACAACAATATAGTTATCAGCAACAACAACAACAACATTATCATCAACAATAACAATATCATCCACAACAACATCAACGACAACAACAACATCAACGACAACAACAACATCAACAATAACATCAACAACAATAACAACAACATCATCAACAACAACATCATCCCCGAGATTTAATTCAATAGGAGTCACATACAAGATAAAACAATATGCAATAATAAGACAACTAACGCTGATTAAACATGCATTGCGGCATACAATTTCATTCCTCTCAGAATCGATACCAATAACGAAACGAGACAAATACCGAAACGAAACAAATACCGATTCGAGATTAAAAATATCGAATCAAGTACGTAACAATATTTACATTTATACCAAATACCATACATAGAATTACTTAAAATTCTAAGTGTGTATGTGTATATGTATTTGTATCTGTGTGCATGTGTGTGTGTATTTGTATCTGTGTGCATGTGTGTGTGTATTTGTATCTGTGTGCATGTGTATGCATGTGTGTATGAAATTAATTTTAAGTTTTTCGTTAAGTTTAGTAGGAGGGGTTATAAATTTAAAACGAAATAAATTTAATTTTCTAAAAAAAATTTCAGGCTCTTTGGTGATAAATTTCAAAGAAAAAGCTTGAACAAAAAATTGGAAAAAGTGAAAAAATACTAATAAACTATTAAAAAAAACCGAAAAAACATTTGAAAAAAGAAAAAAACAAAAAAAAATCTTCCAAAATTTTCTCGGTCAGTTCAGTTCTACCTGCTCGTCACGAAGGCAACCGTGATTTCACAGTCCCAAACATCTTGAAAGGTTGAGTAGAGAAGTTAAAAAATTTCATGTTTCTCTTTTATAATTTTTAAAGATACAAACACACACACACACACACACACACACACACACACACACACACACACACACACACACACACACACACACACACACATACATACATACATACAAACATACAAACTTGCATACATACATGCATACATACATACATACAAAGAAACAGTCATATATACATACTAAAATGCTGTGCATAATTGCGTAGGTGCAATGCCTTAATTTGCTGTGATGCATGCCCGAAGCTAACCATCATTGTTTGTATGCATGTTTGTATGCATGTTTGTATGCATGTTTGTATGTAATTATGTAAGTATGTTTGTATGTATGTCTTCATGTGTATAAATGAGACACGTTGTCAAACGGTTCAACTGCAATAAATTGACTCGAAACACTTCAAAAGCGCAGCTGATCGTCTTCGGACCAGTGCCATATTTAAATTATAAAGAACCACATAAAATAATATTCAGCCCTCAGCCAAGTAATAGCCGAGAGCAAAACAGTGAAATTTTTAGTCGTCTTATTATATGGGAAGTTGACTTTCAGACTCCATTTCAATTACGTTACAAACAAGTTAGCTAAATCTATTGGAATAATGAACAGAATTAAATTTTACCTTCCAGAATGCTTGAACATGATCTACTGCGCCATCTCTCAGCATCACGTCACGAGCTCCAAATTTAGTATACTTATTATCAAATAAATCTAAGATAAATATTCTGTTCTTGAATGTTGTTTGTAGGGGTCCTAGAGTGTGTAACCAAATTTTGAAAGACGGTTCTTGCTGTGATAACATGTGATAGCATTAAAAATAAAATGAAAATTGTTTCTGTTGTTAAATTGCAATGACCAGCCGTAAAATGATATAGAGATCTTTTTTTTAATCTTTACTTGCGCTCTGATTACCATCGTTCAGCTCACATTTCTCTTTATCTTTACTTAAATGTATAGGTAAATATAAATATGATAACTATAGATAGCATTAGTCTTTCCAGAGTTCTTCTGGATAGATACCAAATATTGTTCTAAATTATCAAGCGAACCATACTACAAATAACTAACACCTGATTTGTTAACATGGTTCAGTCTGTTAATTTACTAACAACTAACACGTTTCTCATTAATTATTTAGGAGAAGTTTTTTTATTATTTGCTAAAAACTTTTGTGTGAACTCAGAACATTTCTGATTAGGTGAATGAAGGTGAATTTTATTTAAATTCTGTTATGGTCGTTAATTTTCAATTTTGAGAGGCAAATGAAATTTCGTTTCGTATGTTTGTATGTAAGTTTGTCGGTGTTTTGGTATGTATGTTTGTTTGTTTGTTTGTATGTTTGTTTGAATGTTTGTTTGTTTGTATGTTTGTTTGAATGTTTGTTTGTTTGCATGTATGCTTGTATATGTATGTTTGGATAGATGTTTGTTTGTTTTTATGTACGTATGATTTATATACACACAACACACACACATACAATACACATACAAACATACACACTTACATACAAACATTTTGTATCAGAGGCGGTACTTTAGACTTGATGCTTCTTAATGCAAAGTCTCACTCGTCGTGCTTAATAGTCGAGTGTGTTGGATGATGAAAGCCTTATATAATCATTCCCCTGTACATAAATACAACTAGAAATACGCATACACACACACACATACACACACACACACACACATACAAGCAAGCAAGCAAACAAAACTTTTTCGTAAGAGTATTTTGTATTTTCATTTTGTTAAGCGTTTATTTTCATTACTGGGGTTTTAAGGTAAGTATGTTTGTGTGTGTGTGTGTGCGTGTGTGTGTATATATGTGTGTGTGCGTGTGTGTGTGTGAGTATTCATGTACAAACAGCCGGCTGCGTTTTTAACGCTGAATGAAAGAGGCTGCAAAATGTTATTTATGATTTAAGTGGTTCCGAAAAAGAACGAAAGAATAAATGAATGTGAACAAACAAACGAACGAACGAACGAATGAATAAATAAATGAATGAATGAATGAATGAACAAATGAATGAATGAATAAATAAAACAATTGAACAAAAATAGAACAAACAAGAAACAAAAAAACGAACAAGCGAACGAACCTAGCGAACGAACTGACAAACGAATTATGGGATGAAAATAAAATCAATCAATCAGTTACCCGTTCGTTCTGTCTATCCGTCAAGTTTTCATTTGTTCATTTATTTATTTAATTTGTCTATCTATCATTCATTCATTCATTCATTCTTTCAATCCATGTATCTGTCCATCATTTTTTCGTTCAATGCAAGCTCATATATAAATGAATAAATCATTCATTTTACCATCTGTCCATTCATCTATCTTTCCATCACTCGCTCACTCACTCACTCACTTACTCACTCACTCACTCACTCACTTTTTCATTCATTCATCCATCCATCAATCATTTCCTTCATTCTTTCATGGCCGATGCATCGCATGCATGTACGTATTTCTGACAGTAAAATTTGGACCCACAGTTCATTCCCTCAATCACAACATCTCATCTATGACACCGCTGAGAATATAAATAATAATAATAATAATAAATAATGAAAAAAATAATAATAATAGTAATAATAAACATCATAATCATAATAATATTAATAATATAAATAAAACATGAAACTTTAATATTATTATCATCTGTTCTGTTTCGACGTAATATTAATGTAAAGAATGTAGAAGTTAATGAACGAACGAACGAACGAACGAACGAATGAACGAACGAACAAACGAATGAATTAAGAATGAATGAATGAGAACGAACGAATGAAAAAAAAGTACAAAGAAATTGTGGTGGAATGAAATTTCGCATGTTATGCTGGTTCATGGTTGGCTAAGTTGATAGCATAGCATCATTCCATTCTCTACAGCCCTACATGCCTCTATTATTATTATTATTATTATTATTATTATTATTATTATTCGTTATCGTTAAATCGTTAAATCGTTGGGCCACAACAACCACCGTTTTGACGTTCAAATTAACTCAATAAGCAAAACATTGAGATCAAAATTATCGTCAAGAAAATTACCAACAACTAAGACACCTGACACAACAAATCAATTAAAACGTCGCTTTTGGTGGTTCTGTAAAAGGTTATTTACCCAATCAAAAAGTCAAGGTCCGTTGTTCAGTGTCGACGACTGCAAAAACTATTTTTCCTCCGCCTTAAGCGACGACAATTCCAAAAAATATCAACTCCCAAATTGGGTTCCTAGTACATCAAAGCCCACAACACCCTGCAACACCAGTCCGCCTTCTTATCATGAAATATCATCAATTGTTTACAAATGCAAAGCAAAATCTTCTCCGTGTCCCTTGGACCAAATATCAATAATACCTTTCAAAAGATGCCCAATTCTTCGAACCATTCTACAACAACTAATAGCTCAATGTTGGTCATCTTCTAAAATCCCCTCTTGCTGGAAAAAGGGATTTACAATACTTATTCA